CCTGCCCTCCTCTCAGGCCTCTGGGCGCAGTGGGGACCTCCTGGCACCTGCTGTCCCCAGCTCTTGTCTCCTGGCAGAGTCTGAAGGACTTCAGAGCTCGGCTCAACCCAGGGATCACGGACCAGGAGCTGAGGGGGGGGACAGAGCTCCAGCTGCTGGGTGGCATGTCCCAGACACGCCGCCCCCTCAAACTGCAGGTCCCCATCCTGGACCCAGAAGGAGGGTGCAGGTCCCCCAGAGGCCCCAGCCTCTCCATCTGGCCAGCTCAGCTGCTGCCCTGCGGACCGGCCACACAAAGGTGATTGGCTGGGCCTGCCAGGGCTTTGTGACGCGCGGGGCCCCTGCAGCCCCTCCCAGCCCCGCACCAGACACGCTGCCTCCCCTCCGTGCACCCCCACAGGCCCCTGGATGTGTGAGCCTGGGGCCCGAGGGGCAGCGGTCTTGCAGCTTTTCCAGACAGGTGACTTCTGCCCTGCTGGGCGTGGGCAGGCAGGGGGAGCCCAGTGACCATGGGCATAGCCCCACGCCAGGAGTCACAGGGTTTGGCGGGCTCCAGAGAAGCCTCACTCGCTCGTCCGATCCCGCCGCTTCTGTTCCTGTTTCCCTGGCTGGTAGGATAGAGGGAAGGTGGGGCCTGGGCCCAAAAAGAGCCCAGTCTGGCTTCTCCAGCGGCTCCCTCCCGCCCTGGCCTGCCCGGCCTCAGAAACCTGCAGCCAGAGGCAGGGAGGGCCGTGGGGTCCCACGGTCTGGGAGCAGCACTGGCCATGACACAGAGGTGGCACCTCGGCCATTAGTGGCTCTATGAGGGGGGTGGCGGGAGCAGCTGTTTGTCCCCTCTTTGTAGTTGGGGACACTGAGGCCCAAAGTCAGATATCCTGAAAATAGTCAAGCCTCCTGGGGTGGGTGGACACCCCCAGCTGTGCTCGGGGGCTCTTTCCAGCTCTGTCCTAGGGGTGCTCCCAGGGATGCTCAGGGGACCCTCGGGGGTCCATGTGGTACCAGAGGTCAGGCCTAGACCTCCTCCATGTGCTCAGCCCATGAGCTAGCTCTGACCCTAGAACCAAGAGCCTAACCCAAGTGGACCGACCGGAGAGCTATTTGGTCGGGGGTGGGGGTCTCCCTAGCTTTGAGTCCCCACATCCTCCTTGGAGCCCGCTGGAGGCTGACCCTGCCCCAAAGACCCACAGTGTCCTTTCCTAGCGGTTCTGGGCCTGGGAAGGGAGTCCTGGGCACCAGAGAGAAGCCTGGAGGCGTGAGGGCAGCCCAAGGTGCCGAATCATCAAGACGCTGGTTTTATGGAAGGGAGATTATGGCTGGAGGCCTGGAAATGGTCAGAATAAGAGGCAGCAAGTGCTCAGGAGCCGGCGACTGTGCCGGCCGGCCCAGCTGCCCCCAGAACCCCTGGCAGGTCAGCCTCGTGCCCCCTTCATCACCTTGAAGGCCCCTCGTTCTTGCACAGGGCACAATTTAGCCGTTACCGACCCGACCTCGCAGCGTTTTTCCCCGTGGCTCCGGGCAATGCTGCGTCCTTGAGCGGGCGTCCAGCTGATACGGGAACTGGACCTGGCCTCCGTCGCCCACACGGGTCGTGGTTGGAGAAAGGGGGACCAGGCAGTTTCTGCCCCTCTGGCTAGTGGGGAGGAGGCGTGACCCCAGGACGGCGTCCACTGTGACTTCTCTCGGGCCATCTGGGAGGGGGGTTTGTGGGCGGGCTCTGTGCCTGTTTCTAGAGGCCGCTGGGCCGAGGCTGGGCCCGGGTCACCCCAGGACAAACAGCGTCCTGGGAGTGTTCCGCCTGTGACTGGGCGGAATGAGGCTGTTTAGTTCCCGCTGACGTCTCCTCACAGGCCAGTGCCCCAGGCCCGCAGGGGACACGGGCAGGGGTAAGCTGCCTTTCCTGCCCAGCATCAGCCAGAGGGCTTGGAGTTCTGTCGGGGAGGGAAGGGTGGGGCTGGGGGGACTTTGGGCTTTTGCTTTCTGGCCCCATCTGGCGGTGCCCAGGGGCTACTTCCAGCTCTGGGCTCAAGGGTCGCTCCCTGCAGTGTTTAGGGGACCATGCGTGCTGGGGGTCGAAACTGGGGGATCCGCCGGCATGCAGAGCGGAGCTCGGCCCCCGACCTGTCTCCTCAGCCCCGGTTGTATTGCTTTGGTTTTGTTTTTGTTGGATTGCTCTGGGGCCGCCACACCTGGTGGTAGTCGGGGGGGGGGGGGGGGTCAAGCCTGGGTCTGGTCTGCCAGGTGCATAGCCAGTGCCCGGCCCGCTGTGCCCTCTCCGGCCCTGCTTTGGTCTCTTTACTCAGCTCCCGCCGTCCCGCCGTCCCCTCCCCTGTGTTGTCGTGTTGTTCTGGTTGTGTCTGTGTGGTGGGGTTGTGAGTGTGGTGGTGGTTGTGAGTTGTGTGTTGCCATAGTGGTGGTATTGTGTGTGTGTGGGGGGGTGCTGCTCTTACACTGTGGTGGGACTGTGTCACCTACACCTGACTGTGGTGCTCCCACACTGCCACTGCAGTGCTCCCTGCGTCACACTCTAGTTCAAGTGCTCAGTGACCTTCGTGCTCCCACACTAGGCCGTGATGCTCACGGGGGCCCCGCTCCTGTCATGGCACGGCTGGGTTTGGGCAGAACCAGGCTTCAGAGGAGCAGACCCAAGTGAGGGGTCTCCCCTTTCAGAGCCTGCTGGGGGTAGGCAGGGGCTCGGGGCTGGGGAAGGACCAAGGCGTCTTTGCTCAGGGCCTGGGTGCCCCCTGCTGGCCACGCCGTAGTTCTGTCTGGGCCCAGCCCTGGGCCAGGAACATTCAGGGGTTCCTGCTCTCCCAGAGGCTCCCATGGGCCCCACATCAGCCTAAATGGACGCCCACCGGGTGAGGCAGCATCACTGCTACCCTGGACCAACTGCCCCCACCTCTCCCCTCCCCCGGCTGCCCCTCCCCCCAAGCCTCCCAGGTGACTCTTGCAGTTCTGAGAGTGAGGCATCGCTCTTAAGGAAACAGCCTTTTCCTGCACACCGGGAGGGAGGAACCAGCTAAGCGTGTCTCAGGGAAGGCTCCAGGCCTCCCCATGTCCCCATCCGGGCCACCATGGGGCAGCTGGTCAGTGCCAGCAGGCACCGTGTTGGGCCACCTGTCTGTCCCGCCTAGCCAGCCCCCAGCCTGTGGCGGCAGTTCTCGAGTCTATGTCTGTGATGTGCATGTTGGAAGCGTGTTACATGCTGGTCTCCATAGTTGTACATGACACAGGATCGTATCGATCACAGTTACAGGCCACACATGCGTCACGCACACCCACCGCCTTCACCCCGGCCCCTCAGGAAGTTTCGCAGGAGGCTATAGAGTTCTCTGCTCCCAGTCCACCCCCTGCTCCCTGGGAAGCACCCAGAAGCCTCAGTGATGTCCCTCAGAGCCTCGAGGGCTGCTGCAGCCAAGGACCAAGCTCTTCCTCAGGAAGCAGCACACAGTGACCCGGAAACTAGAGCCTAACGCAGAACTCCCAAGGCCGGCCTGGGTCACTTCTTCCCACCCCGGGCTCTCTGAGGCCCCGCAGAGCCAGGACCTTGCCGGAGCAGGGAGTAGGGGAGGGGCGTGCCTGTGGGAACATGAGCCCCCAGGAGCCCATGAAGGCCAAGGAGCGGCCCCCCTCTTGGCACCCCGGCCTCCCTGCTTTCCCCACGCTTCGGGGCCCTTGGGCAGTACCGTTCTGTGTTGGTCCCCCAGTAAGACCCTCCTGCGGTAAGAGAAAGGCTCGTCGTCTTACCCATCCCTCCCAAGATCAAGTACACGTCCCTTGCCCTGCCCTTCTGCCTCCTTATTAAGTTGGGGGGGTCCAATCTCTGGGGCCACGCCCACCCATGGCACCCCGGTGAGGCCCCCAGGCGCCCGGCCACACTCTGCTGCACAGACTCTGCCGGTGGCCCCCAGCCTCCGTCTGTGCTGCCAGAGTGCAGGGGTGTTTCCCGGCGGTGGAGGCAGAAGGACTGAGGTCACCCGGGACCTCAAGGACGTGTGGCAGAGGCCACGTCAGAGTCGTGCTGAGAGGGGGCTGCTGCCCTGTAGGGGGTTCAGAGGTGGTTTCTGGGAGATGAGGCCCCAGCTGAGGGGAGGAGGGGGGAGGGTAGGCCAGAGGGCAAGAGGAACTGAGCAGAGTTGTGCAGTGACCCTCACTTAGTCACAGGCCTGGACACCCCCCACCCGACCCCCGTCTTGAAGGTGCTCCAGTGGGCCGCAGGGGGAGGGGGCCAGGCAGGGAATAAAAGAATGTTTCTCTGCGTTTCTTTAAAACAAAAAAACAGTGGGGCCAGGGGGAGGGTACAGCAGGCAGGGTGCTTGTCTTGCATGCAGCTGGCCCGGGTTTGGTCCCCCACACCCCATACGATTCTCTCAGCCCCACCAGGAGTGATCCCTGGTGCTCCCTGAGCCCAGAGGCCCAGGAGTAAGTCTTACACACTGCCGGTGTGGCTTAAAAAACCAAACACGGGGAGAGGGAGGAGGCACCACTGGAGAAACACCCCCCACCCCCATGAAAACGGCTCCCCTGGCCTCCCGCTTCCTGGATGGAAAGGTCAGACTCCTCCCCATGGCAGACAAAGTCCTGGCACTCAGTCCTTGCCAGCCTCAGGGGCGCCAGCCCAGCACGCAGACCTGCCCCCCGGCCCGCCGAGCGCCCAGGGCTGCCGAATAAGCCAGGCCTTTGTCCCTTCTGCCCCAGCCTTTGTGTGTTGGAGACATTCCCGCCCCTCAGTGCCCGAAGACCCTGCCCCACCCGTCTTTGTGCCGTCCAGTCCCTGAACTTCCGACAGGCTTGGCCACCCACGTCCCTCATGCTGGCTGGCGGCCAGCGCCCAGGCCGGCCACATTCTGGGGGCGAACAAGAGCCCCCCCTCTCCAGGAGGGCCTGTTGCAGTGCCCCCTCCCCCAGGACAATGCCTCGCCCCCCCCCCCACACACACACACACACACCGAGGGCCGGGAGCAGGGAGCCCGCCTGACCTTGCCTCTCTGTCTCCGCAGCTGGGGCATGGCCGTCAATGTGTACTCCACATCCGTGACCAGTGAGAACCTGAGTCGCCATGACATGCTCGCGTGGGTCAACGACTCGCTGCACCTCAACTACACCAAGATAGAACAGCTCTGCTCAGGTAGGCGGCCTGGTCCTCCCCCACCCCCATCCCTTGCTGCAGGGGTGTAGAAAGAATAAGGTGACCGAGGGCTGGAGGGTGCTGGAGGCTGGAGGGCTGCCCTGCTCTGCGCTAACTAGGTACTACTGTGGCTCCTCTCTCCCTGAGCTGAGCTTAGAAACGCTCAAGGTACAGATGAATCTATGGGGGGCGGGGAGGAGAACAGGTAGGATTGGGTCAGTCTGGGGTTGAGCCCCATCCCTGTTGGGGGAACACACGCCCCACAAATTGTGCGTTTCCATTGCATAATTAATCACAAATTTTATGCCACTTTTTTTCCCCAAGGAGTGAGATGCAGAGATCATATGAAGGGGTTTTGTGTGTGTTTGTGATTTTTTGGGTTTTTTTGTGTGTGTTTTTAAATTGGGTGGGCTGGAGCGATAGCACAGCGGCAGGGCATTTGCCTTGCGCGCAGCCAGCCCGGTTGAGCCGGGTTCGAGATTCCTCCGCCCCTCTCGGAGAGCCCGGCAAGCTACCGAGAGTATCTTGTCCACACGGCAAAACCTGGCAAGCTCCCTGTGATGTATTCATGGGGATACGCCAAACACAGTAACAAGAAGTCTCAAAATGGAGACGTTACTGGGCCCGCTCGAGCAAATCGATGAACAACGGGAGGACAGTGACAGTGACAGTGATTGTGCTGGGTCAGAGAGATCACATATGCAGCTGTGGTGACCACAGCCCTGGTTCAAACCCCCAGCACGACACATGCTCCCCCGAGCACGGAGTTCCCCCCGAGTGCCAGCAGGTGTGCCCCAACACCCCTCCCAAGCAACAGAAAACTTTAAAAAGTAATAGTGGTTGCCGGTATTACATAAAAATGGGGTGCCGTGACTAGGCAGGGGTGATGATGAAGCAGTGAAATAGGGCAAGGCGGGGAGTGGCAAGTAGGATCCGGAGCAGCTGCAGAGCCCTAAACTAGTCCGAGGGCGGGCGTGGAGGTGACTGAGGGAGCCGGGAAGGCTGAACGGTGAACAGCGCAGAGCAGGAAGCGGTGGAGGTGGGCTGTGGGGTGGGGGTGCTGTGCAGGCTAACAGCCCCCGTGCACCCCACTCCGGCCTCGGGGGCTGCAGATCACGGCATCCACGTGGCACAGCCAGGGGGCAGGGCCTCTCGGAGACAGAAGAACGCCCCCGGCCCACATCGTGGGGCGGGTGCAGCTGCAAAGGGGTCGGCTCCCTTGGGCCCAGCCCAGGGCCCCAGGAGTCTGGGCAGTGGCGGGGCTGGGGGGTAGGGTCTGGGCAGCAGCAGCCGAGCCCCCTCCCCCCTCCCAGGTGCAGCCTACTGCCAGTTCATGGACATGCTGTTCCCCGGCTGCGTGCACTTGAGGAAGGTGAAGTTCCAGGCGAAGCTGGAGCACGAGTATATCCACAACTTCAAGGTGTTGCAGGCAGCCTTCAAGAAGATGGGTGTCGACAAAGTAGGTGCCTGTGCCCCAGGGCCCTGAGGAGCGGCCCAGGGCTGCAGGCTGGCCTCAGCCCCTCGAGGAAGTGTTCCCCCGGCCCCCCATTCCAGGCGCAGTGGACCACTCCCCCCGCCCCCCAACTCCACTGCCCTGTCCTGATGCCGCCACCAATGCTGCCAACTCCTCTCTGCCCCACCCCCCCACGCCCCCGACCCGGCTGACTCGGCTCCTGTGCAGAAAAGTCTGTGGCTCAGGCAGACTTGAGCGCCCGCGGGGACGGGGTCACAGGGTGGGGTGGGAGGGGGGCCGGGGGCCGGCGGCCGGTTAAAGTGCTCTGCTTCTGTGGTCTGTTTCAGATAATCCCTGTAGAGAAATTAGTGAAAGGAAAATTCCAAGATAATTTTGAGTTTATTCAGTGGTTTAAGAAATTTTTTGACGCAAACTATGATGGAAAGGATTACAACCCGCTGCTGGCACGGCAGGGGCAGGACGCGGCGCCTCCTCCTAACCCAGGTGATCAGATCTTCAACAAATCCAGGAAGCTCATTGGCACAGCAGGTAACGTGCCCGAGCCAGGGGAGGGAGTGCGGGGGGCCGGGCCGGAGGGGGTCTCTGACCACGAGCGCCCCTGGGGCCACCCGGCCCGGCCCAGCCCTGCCAGCCCCGAGGAGACTGTTATCACGGAGTTCAGATGACGCTGCCCGCTGCCACTGACCAGGGGCTGTCCCCAAGGGGAGGGGGGCCCTAAGATTCCTCCAAGAGGAGAGCCCCCCCCCGCACCAGCCGACCCCCTGCCCCCTGCCCGCCGGCCTCCCAGGCAGGGGTGCGGCTCCCCCAGCCCCAGAGCTCAGCCCTCTGGAGAGGGGCTCTCTGGGCTCCTGGGAGATGGGGGGAAGCAGGCGGTTGGAAGAGACGCCCAGGCCCGCATCTGAACCCGTCATAGCAGAGCCCGCTCCTCCTGCCGCCCGCTGCTGCCCTCTCCTGCTTGCTTTGCATCTGGAGCTGCGGCTCCGCCAAGGAACTGCCCGGCCAACGCCGCCCAGCATGCCGTCCCGAGCCAGCCAGAGCCCCGGAGGGCGAGGGGTGGGGGCGCAGTGGGGGGCTCCTTCCTCAGTTCCAGATCCAGGCCATCGGCAGGGCAGGGAGTAGCACTTTGGGCTTCTGCAAGGAAAGGCCCGGCCGGCCAGTGGGGGGCTGAGCTGAGAGAGGCAGGGTGGGCCCCTCCCCTCCCCCCGGCCAGCCCGGCCTCCCTGGGCGTCCCCATCGTCCTGCATTGGGCTTGCTGAGGGGCTGCCAAGCTGCTCTGGTGTCCTGCGTGGCCGTGGCTGGAGGCCCAGAGGGAGCCCCCTCCGAGAGGGCCCGGCGGGGCGCTGCCTGCCTTTCGCATGGGTCTGTCGGCACTGGGCGGGGGGAAGGGGGGGCACCCGCAGCTTGCCGGGCCCCGCCTGACTTTTCTCCTCTGGACAGTTCCCCAGAGGACATCCCCCACAGGCCCCAAAAACATGCAGACCTCCGGCCGGCTGAGCAACGTGGCCCCCCCGTGTATCCTCCGGAAGAACCCCCCATCAGCGCGGAACGGCGGCCACGAGACTGACACCCAGATCCTGGAACTCAACCAGCAGGTCAGCTAGGCGCCGTCCCGCTCGCCCCAGGCAGATAGGGGGGGCAGGGGGGCGCGGGGAGGCAGGTTAATTCAGGGGCCTGGGGATTAGTGGCGGACTGGTCTGGAAAGTATGTTAGAGAAAAGCTGGGGGATGGGTCGGAAGAGAAAGCCCCCCCCCCCCGCCCCCGCAGACTGCTGGCATCGCTGTTGAACCAGTGTCGGGGGGATGCTGGCCCTGCCCTTGCTCTGTCAGAAGCTGGTTAAACATCCTCCCTCCGGGTTTACAGGATAACTCGGGGAATCTCTCCACGAGTCTGAGTCTTCCTTTCCCATCCTGTCCACGACGCCCGGTTTAACCTTAGTCACGTAGCCCTTGGGATGCTTTTCGGGAGAGAGAGGCGGGGTGGTGAGCGCGAGGTCATGCAGGAGTGGCATCTCGGGCTCCGACACACGTCCCGGTGGCCAGGGGGCGCCAGGCCCTGGGAGTGGGGGCACGGGGAGGGGAGCCCGAGGCAGCCCCCCTCAACCCCCCTTGGCTTGACTGTCCCCTGCTCCCTGAGCAGCTCTTAGACTTGAAGCTGACCGTCGACGGGCTGGAGAAGGAGCGCGACTTCTACTTCAGCAAACTTCGTGACATCGAGCTCATCTGCCAGGAACACGAGAGCGAGAACAGCCCCGTCATCTCAGGCATCATCGGCATCCTCTATGCCACAGAGGTGACGCGGGAGGGAGGCCCCTGGGGGCATCCCCTGGGCAGATGGGGGGCCCCGGGCTTTCCTCGGCCCCAGGACTCAGTGTTCCCTCTCCCATGCTGCCCTCCAGGAAGGATTTGCACCCCCGGAGGACGATGAGATTGAGGAACCCCAACAGGAAGACCAGGACGAGTACTGAGGGCAGCCCAGCCCTGCCGACCGCCGGCTTCCTGGGGCTCCCCCGCCCCCCCCACACACACATTATATTCCTTTCCTTACAGCTGGTCGGCCGGGTGCTTTGTCAGCCAGCAGGGCCGGGGGGCCTGGGGGGCCAGGGACGGGGGGAGCAGGCCGAGGCCCCATCCTCCTGGGACACAGGCCCCGGGCTGGGGGCTGGCGGGACCCCTGCCCTCTCCACACACCCCTATTTATTTCCGTTGTCTCCATGCTGTGTCCCGTTCCACCCCCCCCCCCCCCGCCCCGCCCTGCCAGCCACCTGCCCCTCCTGACAGCCAGCAGCCAACTCTAGGACAGTCGTTGGTATATTTTTACGTACGGACCTCCCTTGCACTTTACCTGTTCTTTCCCCAGGGCCGACCCCCGGGGCCCGCCCGGCACGAGGGCATGGCAGCAGGACTCAACCGCTCTTATTTATTTTGTCCTCCGACTTCCCCATAGTTAAGGGAAAGGCTGATGTCAGGAGAGGGGCAGGGCCCCGAAGAGGGGGTGCCTGAGGCCCCGGGGCGGGGGGGGGGGTCCCGGAGGGAGGGGGAGCGCGTGAGGGTGGAGAATGACCTCCTGGCACCAGGCTCACCCCTCTTGGTCCCTGACCCCCTCCGCACCCCAGCCCTGCCCCAGGCCAGAGCCACCCCCTTCCTGTGACTCGGTTCATACCACACAGCCTCCACCGGACCCTCCTGTCTGTCTGCTCCCATTCCCCGCCTCCCCACACACACACCCCAAGCCCCCCCGCCCCAGCCTGCATATGTGTTCACTTTTATTTAAATAAACTTGTGTGGTAAAAGTCCAGGTCCTGTCTCCCTGGGCCGAGCCGCAGCCTCAGTGCCTCCTTTCTCATCTGAGCCCCAAGCAGGTCCCTCAGCAGAGGTCCTGCCCACGGAACACCACCACACACACACACGGCCACCTGCATCCCAGGGGAGCCGGCAGTCGGCAGGATTCTGGGCTGGCCACGGCCACAGAACCCCCCACGGGGCTGGGCCTCAGCATCCTGTTCTGATCGTGTCCTGCCTCCCAGCACCTACCCAGGACCCTCAGCCTGTCTGCGGGGGGTCCAGGTCAGGGTGCTGACTAGTGCACAGGCTGCCAGGGGTGAATGGGGCAGGGAGCAAGGAGCCTCCCGTGACAGAGCCGGGGTCTCCCGTGGGTACGATGATGTCCCAGCTGCCATGCCCAGGGCTTCCCTCTCTTGAACACTCTCTCCTGGGAACGGGCATCAAGAGCCTCTCCCCTGCCCTCGCTGCCCAGCCTCCCTGCCGGGTGCCTCGGCTGAGGGCCCTGCAGGAGGGCGCCACATGAAGGTGGCACCAAGCCCGTCCCATTGACTGTGGCAGCCCACCGGACTGGTCCCGTGGCCAACCCCAACAGACATGTCCAGACCAGACCCCCGTGGACTCTGCCGCTCCAGACAGAATGTTCTACGCCACGCGTCCTCTCGTCTCATTACTCACTAGCTTTGTGGCTCTTCTGGACTCGCACTCCCCCACACGGGTACCTCAGCCCCTTTTTTTTTTCACATATTTTTTTCCTTCTGGGGGCCCTAGGGCTTACTCCTGGCCCTGCACTCAGAGATCACTCCCTGATTGGGCGGCCTTATGTGGGGGCGGGGGTGGAACCCGGGGTGACCATGGGCAGGGCAAGTGCCTCGATAGCTGTACTGTCACTCCAGCCACCCTCGGGGTCTTTTCTATCTTCTCCCACAACTCCCATGCCTGCTTCCACGCGTCTTTCTAGTTCGATTCCTTCTCTTGCCTGATCTTAGGCACCAAAGGGCGCCAGTTTCCACGTGGCCCGTCTTCAGGCCCAGTGTCCCCCTGCTAGTGGTGAGTGGCGGAAGGACTGGGGCCTCTCCCCAGAGATGGTGTCCTGAGTCCCAGGAGCTGGAACACATTTGTCTGCCTGACAAAGGAGGAGACTGAGTCGCAGAGGGGCTCAGAAGACACGCAGGCTCTGCGCGCAGGCAGCCCCACATCCCAGAATCCCCTGAACACTGAGCTCCAAGTAGCTCCTGAGCACTGAGCTTGGAGCAGCTCCTGCGCACCACCAGGTGTGGCCCAAATAAACACAAACGCAGGGAGGAGGGCAGCCTGGGTCATGCAGGTGGGTCTAGTGCGGAGAAGGAGCCATAAAGGGGGACGTGGTCAGAGAGAGCAGGATCAGGGGAACGGAATGTGGAGAACAACCTTCTGCTATTTCGGTCTTTGGGGATGGAAAGAGGCCACAAGCCAAAGAGTGTGGGTGACTCTGAGGAAGGGCTAAGATGAAGTTCAGTGGTCCAGCCCATGATTCGCCTGTCAGAAGCTCCTGCATTCCATGCCAGGCACCTCCACCCCCAATTCAGGAGGGAGCCTGGGTCACACCCAGTGGTGTTCAGGGGCTACTCCTGGATCTGTACTCAGGGGTCCCTCCTGGTAGTCGTTGGGGGACCGTATATGGTGTCAGGACTCAAACTGGTCAGCTGCAGGCAAAGTTTATCTCGTTGGTCCCCCACCCCCAAAATTACCCAAAAGGTCAAGGAAATTCCACAGAGCTTCGAGAGCACTGTGGCCCGGCACTCGATTTCAGTCCAGAAAACCCATTCTCAGGTCTTCACCTTCAGAATATAAATTGGTGTATGTGTTGTTTCCCCCTCTCGGAGAGCCCGGCAAGCTACCGAGAGTATCTCGCCCGAACGGCAGAGCCTGGCAAGCTCCCCGTGATGTATTCCATATGCCAAACACAGTAACAACAAGTCTCATGATAGAGAACATTACCGGGCCCGCTCAAGCAAATCGATGAACAACGGGAGGACCGTGACCGTGACCGTCATGTGTTGTTTTATGCCACTGAGCTCACGGCATAGCAGCCACAATCGAAAATTCATTCCAGGATCAAACTACTTCATTCCTCCCTCATGTTAGACATCCGCCTGTCCTTGATCACTTGGGTTTTTCTGGGTTTTACTTTGTTTGGGGGCCACACCTGTCTGTGCTCTGGGCTTACTCCTGCCTCTGCTCGGCGATCACTCCGGGTGGCAGTGTGGGGACCTAATGTGGGTCAGTCACATACAAGCCCTTGGCTGATATACTGTTTCCTCGGCCCTTAGCACTTTCATCCGTCCCTTCATGCCCTGCCTAAACCTTCCTCATCTCCTGCCTCTTGCAGTAGTTCTCACCATCTTCCCTTTGAATATCTGTGATGCTGAGTGTGACTCTCCGTGTACATGTCTGTCTCCCATGCAGGCTCGGGGCTTCTCGTGCCACTGAGGTGTGTATGCCACCTCTACCCAGTCCAGTGCCCAGTTCCTGGCTAGAGAGGGGCTGGGCAAATGCTGCGGGATAAGGAAGCAAATGACTGTAACAGCTAGATGCCAAGCTGCTGCAGATGGCGTGCTAGACTCTCCCTGGGAAAGGGGAAGGCGAGCCCACCCTGTCTGCAGCTCCACCACGGAGCAGTCCCCATGTTTGCCTGTGGGGAGCCCCCCATTCTGTTTCTCTGCTCAAATGAGGGTTTTCTCTGTAGCCGTACCTGTGACACATAGCAGAGAGGGGACACTGCTGCCATCTGAGAAATGAATTGGTAGTGATCCAGCACTGTTCCTGGTAAAAAGCACTTCCAACTCGACTCGAAGCCGCCAGTGGCAGTCAATCCCGGGAAGGCCTGGAGGGCTGGAGGGCAGGTGTTGGCAGTCCCCTGCCACCTCCTGCCTTTCCTGTCCCCAATTCATCTCTCAGGGGGCCCATTTAACGTTCTGAATAGGGGGATCGTGCTGGTTTTCCACCGGCTTCCCAGATCCTGAGGTCTTGTGGACAAGGACTGAATTTGGCCAGACCAGACCTCGGGCATAAGGATTCAGATCCTTGTTTGACCTCATCAGCTCCTAAATCCCATTAAGCACCACACCTATGAACAACTAATTCCAGTTTCCCAGACTCGCTCTGCCACGTTCCACCCCCAGACCACTTTGCTCCAGTTAGGAAGTTCATGCAACCAGCCTCTTCCCTCCGCTGTCCCCATTCAACTGACGAACCACCTGTTCCCAAGAAGCTGCCTCCAATGACTTCTGGAAGCCTTCCTTGATCTCCATCCTGTGGAACTCCTCACTTCCCACCGTTTCATCCATTTCATTCATTTGGATTTTGGACTCTCCGTTCTCACTACTTGGCCTGTCTTGTACCTCAGTATGGCAGGTAGAAGTCTCACCCTGAGTGGTGGCTATCTAGGACATGGTGCGTTTCCTTCACTGTCGTTAAGCCCTTTCATTTCACTTGCCCCCTGCAGTGATGCTTCAGGTTTCTGGGCCTGGTGTGACTCCACAAGGCTAGGGAAGGCCCTCAGTGGGGTGACTAATTTGCACTGTCACTATTGAGCAGGCTCAAGCCTGGGCCTCTAAAGTGCTGCCCCCCTGCTATTGGGACTCAGGGCTGACTCTTGTCTTAGCTCCCTTTCTGGTCTCCTTTCTTGGAAGGGGCACCCCAGCCCTGGTGGCCCCCGGCTTTCAGTACCCCCCACTACCCAGCCTCTCTCCCTCAGACTCCACTGTCTCCCAGGCTCTTGGACCAGAGGCTTTTTTAGCCCTTCCAACCTTCTGTCACAAGCATCAGAAAAAATAGCACTTTCCAGGAAGGGAGGAAACAGTCCATCCTCAAATGTGGAGATAACCAGAACTCTCCCTTTTATCCTTGTGTGTGTGTGTGTGTGTGTGTGTGTGTGTAAGAGAGAGAGAGAGAGAGAGAGAGAGAGAGAGAGAGAGAGAGAGAGAGAGAGAGAGAGAGAGAGAGAGAGAGAGAAGCAAGATACTGTTCTTTCTGTTTCGTTTGGTTTTTGTGCCACACTCGACCATGCTCGGGGCTCACGCCTGGAATTACACCGTGCAGGGTCTCACCCCGGGCGGCTGCGTGCAAGGCAGGGGCCCTACCCGCTCTACTCTCTCGGGCCCAAGATAGTGTCGACTGAACGAAACATACTTAGAAAGACGTGAAGAGGAGAGAAGGAAAGAAGGGATACGTGGTTGGAAGGAGAACACAAGCTCGCAAGGGCGGCCGATGAGCGAGCTTCGTTTCATCCTTCGAGCCCTACGAGAAAGGCTCGGAAAGAAAACAAACAAACCAGAAAGAAAAAAAAAACAGTTCAAGGGCCACCAAGTCGCCCCCACCGTGGCCCGCGCGCGCACGGTGGGCTGCTGGACCTCCCCACCCGGGGCCCGGGGCCGGCGGGAGCTGCGCGCCCAGCGGCCAGGGCGAAGGACTACAAGTCCCAGGCTGCCTTGCGGCTGACGTCACGCGCGCGACGGCCGGCGCGGAGACGTGGCAGCGCGCGGCGCGGCGGCCCGGGAGCGGGAGCGGGAGCGGGGGCGGCGCGGCCGGGGGTCGAGCCATGGCGGCCAAGGCGGCGGGCGGGGGGCGCTGGGAGGTGGTGAAGAAGGGCCGGAGGCCGGGGCCCGGCGGCGGCCGTCGCGGAGGCGGCGGGGACCGCCGCGCCCTCGGGGAGGCCAACGGCGTGTGGAAGTACGACCTGACCCGTGAGTAGCCGCCGGGGGCCGCCGGGCGCCAGCACCCCGCCCCCACCCCCGCCGCCGCGGGGGGAAACTGAGGCCGGGGGAGGCGGAGCCCCGCCCAGGGCTCGTGGCCGCCCGGGGGTCCTGGATGCGGCTCTTGGCAGCCCCGCTTCCCCCGTCGCCCCCCACCCGGACCCCCGCCGCTGGCCCCGGCCCCGGCCCCGCACCCGGCCCGGCCGCGCCTCCCTGCAGGGCCCGAGGACGGGGCACCGCCTCCTGGACGCGGGGCCGGCCCCCCTCCTTGAGAAACCCGCCCGTGGGGTGCGGGGGTGGGCCGGGGGAGAAGAGACCCACCCCGGGCTCCCCAACCTGTTGCGCCCCGCCCCGGAGCCCTGGAGAAAGCCCGGCTGCTGGTTGAGGGTAGAGCCGTCACGTGGGCGGCCAGAGGACGTGGAGGAACCCTCGGGTCCGCCCCCCCCCCTCCGGCCTCACCCCCACCCAAGGGTGCTTGTCACTCGCCGGGCCCACGGAGCACCGCACCTGTTGCCCCCCCGGCCTGGCGCTGATCTGATACGAAACGCCTCTGCCTCTGCGGGGAGGTGTGGCCGCGCCAAGGCCCTGGGGTGGATTCTCGACCGGTCCGGTGATCCACACCCCCCAGCACGGCTTGCCAAGGAAGCCAGAGGGCGGGCGCCCTGCCCTGCTTTGGGGGGGGTTAGCCAGAAGGAAGGGGCCGGGCGAAGAGTTCGGTGACCCGGGGCGGGGGCAGGCCAGCCGCGCTCAGGGACACCCCCTCTCTCCGCGGCTTATTGCCCAGCGCCCATCCAGACCTCGAGCACCCTCTATGAGCAAGGCTTCGAGAAACTCATGAAGCGGCAGAACAAGGAGCAGGTCCCCCCGCCTGCCGTGGAGCCCAAGAAGATGGGGAACAAGCCAGCCAAGAAGGCGGCCCCCGTGGCCAAGCCAGCGGCCCAGCAGCAGGGCCGTTTCCGCAGCCTGGAGGAGGCCCTGAAGGCCGTGAGTTCAGTGGGGTTGGGGGGAGGGGGAGGGAGGCTCCAGGGTCAGCCGAGGGACCTTTGGAATCTTTTGGTTTACTTTTTGTTTGTGGGGACCCCACTGGCTGTGCTCAGGCGTTACTCCTGCCTCTGCACTCAGGAATCACTCCTGACGGTGCTCCGGGGGCCCTATGGGGTGCCAAGGATCAGCCCTGGGGCCCGCTGTGCTGTTGCTCCGGCTCCAGGACCCCTGGAATTTGGGGACCCTCTTGGTGGAGGGAAGGTGTGCGGGAAGGGACGGACTCCCCTCCCCGTCTCCAGTGCAGAAAGGAAATAGGTGGTTTAGAAGGAGCTGCGGGGTCGTGAGAGGGAAGCGTGGGGCCCGAGAACACCAGGGAGGAGGGAGGGAGACAGATGTCCTGGGTTCCTTGGCCTGTGGAAGAAATCCTTCCTCTCCCCCCTTGCCCTCTGCCTTTGCCCTTGGAGCTAGGCAGGGCCTCGAGTTTGGGGCTTCCCGGGGGCTGCCCCCTCTCCTGAGAGCCGGCACGGGCGGCAGCATCGCGGCGTTCCGTTGCCTGTGCCCTCTGTCCATGGGCCCCCTGCTCCCCCACCTCTGTCCTGCCCCCCTCCACTCGCGACTCACCCCAGGGGCCTGTGTCCCTGGCAGCTGGACATGGCCGCCCTGCAGAAGGAGCTGGACCAGAGCCAGCGCGTGTTCTCCGGGAACCCGTCCGTGTGGCTCAAGGACCTGGCCAGCTACCTCAACTACAAGCTGCAGGTGCCGCCGAGCGAGCCCACCCTGAGCCAGTACTCGCACGGTGAGTGCTCCGGGCTGCTCCAGGACCCTCGACCGCCCTGGCGTGGGGCTGGGGCCATAGCACAGCGGGGAGAGCGTTGGCCTTGCACGCGGCTGACCCGGGTTCGATCCCCAGCATCCCATAGGGTCCCCTGAGCACCGCCAGGGGTGATTCCTGAGCGCAGAGCCAGGAGTAAGCCCTGTGCATCGCCAGGTGTGACCCAAAAACCCCAAAAAAAGGTTCCACGCCTCCCGGGGGGTGGGGGGACGCCAGCGCAGGGCCGTCGCTCACGCGGGGGCCCCCTCCCAGATTACCCCTACAGCCTGGTGAGCCGGGAGCTGCGGGCTGTCATCCGGGGGCTGCTGAGCAGGGCCGCGGGCTCTCTGGAGCTCTTCTTCGACCACTGCCTCTTCACCATGCTGCAGGAGCTGGACAAGACGCCAGGTGAGGGGCGGGGGTGGGCCGTTCTGTCCCAGGGCGGGGGGCTTTGCTCCGCGTGCCCACCTTACCCAGTGGCCGGCGGGTCACGTTCTTTCCAGCAGAGTCACGTGCTCCCCCAGCCACCCACTCCCGGAAGGGAGGAGGCGGTTCAGACTCGCTGAGCCGGCACTGGGGCTTGCGACCGCCGGCAGGGCGCTTTCCAGCTGGGGGGCCCCCCGAGTGGAGCCGGGGGGTCTGAGCACACGGGTCTCTCCAGGGGAGTCGCTGCATGGCTACCGCATCTGTATCCAGGCCGTGCTGCAGGACAAACCCAAGATCGTGACAGCCAACCTGGGCAAGGTGAGCGTGGGGAGGTGCTGGGGTTCCCCCCCCCGAGGCAAGGCAGAGCCCCCCAGGAGGGACCACGCTGCCTGGCCCGGGGGTGCTCCCACCGCCCTCCCCACCCCAGCCACCCTCTCGCCTCCCGTGTCCCCAGTTCCTGGAGCTGCTGAGTTCCCACCAGAGCCGACCAGCCAAGTGTCTGACCATCATGTGGGCCGTGGGGCAGGCCGGATTTACCAGCCTCCCTGAGGGCCTGAGAGGTGAGGGGGACACGGGGGGACTCGGGGCCTGGAGGCGCTCCCGAGCCTGGGCCCCGGGCTGAGGCGTCTCGGGGGCCTGTCTCCGCAGTGTGGCTGGGCGTCATGCTGCCCGTGCTGGGCATCAAGTCCCTGTCCCCCTTCGCCATCGCCTACCTGGATCGGCTGCTTCTGTGAGTGATGGGGCGGGGGGGACATTGGGGTGAGCTCTCCGCTTCAGACTGGGGGCGGGGGGTGGCAGTGCTGTTCCTCAATGCTGATCTGAGGGGGGTTGCGGCTGGGCCGGTGGTCTACAGCAGACCTGTCCCCCTTCACCCTAGGATGCACCCTAACCTCACCAAGGGCTTTGGCATGATTGGCCCCAAGGACTTGTTTCCTCTCCTGGACTTCGCCTACATGCCCAACAACTCGCTGACGCCCAGGTAGGGCTTGCCTGGGGCACAGCCGTGGTGAAGACACCCACGGGGGCAGGCAAGGCCTGTCCTGCCCCTTCTCCAGCCGCCTTGAGGTCACCTGTGCCTCTGGGCGTGCTGGAGGCAGACGTCGGGGCCAGGGCCGAGGGCGGCTCCCTCCTGGGCAGGCCTGGGCGCCTGAGCTGGCCTCTCCACCAGCCTGCAGGAGCAGCTGTGCCAGCTGTACCCGCGACTGAAGGTGCTGGCGTTCGGGGCGAAGCCGGAAGCCACCCTGCACACCTACTTCCCCTCCTTCCTGTCCCGAGCCACCCCCAGCTGCCCCGCCGAGATGAAGAGAGAGGTGAGGATGCCGCCTTCCGGTCTGGCCCTCCCCTCGGGAGTGGCCGCCCTCTCGGCGCTCCCCTCCACGACGCCCCATCATGCTCCCTCCTGCCCCCGAGCAGCTCGTGGGCAGTCTGACCGAGTGCCTGACGGTGGACCCCCACAGCACCAGCGTCTGGAGGCAGCTCTACGCCAAGCACCTGTCACAGTCCAGGCAGGTGGGGGGGGCGCCCCGGCCCACAGCGGGACCCCTTGGACCAGGCTCCCAGGCTGTCTCCGGGTGGAGCAGGAGGCGAACACCTGTCGCTGTTCCAGCCCCCGCCTGTCTGGCTGGGTGGGGGGTTTCTGGGAGCAGCCCCTCGGGGTGGGCCTGGGCCAGTGCTGATGGGCAGGGCTCGTCTCCCCACAGCGTGCTGCTGGAGCACCTGCTCGCGTCCTGGGAGCAGATCCCCAAGAAGGTGAGCGGCCGCGGGGCGGGGTGAGGCGGGGCGCACGTCGCAGGGTAGGCACTTGGTGCGTTGGGCAGAGAGAGCGAGGCCGGGAGGAGGCTCCGGGGTCCGTCTGCTCGGGGTCCCCCGCCGGACCTCAGCGCAGGCTTTCCGACCCCGCAGACGCGGAAGTCTCTGCAGGAGACGGTGCAGGCCTTCAAGCTCACCAACCAGGAGCTGCTCAGGAAGGGCGGCGGGAACCCCGACGTGGGCCCCTGTGAGGCGGCCTGCAAGGTGAGGCCCGCGGCTCTCCTGCCTCACCCGGCCCCGGGGAGCAGCCCCCCCCTCTGACGGCCGCCCCCACCCGCGCCGCCCCCAGGGGCTGCTGCAGCAGGCGCGGGGCCTCCGGCTGCCCTGGACCCGGCTTCTCTTGCTGGCACTCGTCTTCGTCCTGGGTTTCCTGTGCCACGACTTCCACTCGCACAGCTCCTTCCAGGGTAAGTGGGGCCCGGGCTGCGGCTGCGGGCGCCCACCGGGGGCTGCCGAACCCAGGCCCCTTTCGCGCGCACAGGGAGGTCCCCATTGGATAACCCACGGCCGGGAGCGGAGAGCAGGCGCCGCTGTCGCGGACTCCGAGCCCCGCTCTGTGCCGAGCCCTGCCCCTGCCGCCCCTCCACAGCCTCCCTCTCCGGCCGCCTCCTGCACTCCTCCGGTGTCCTGCCTGCCGGCCAGTGGGCCTGTGCACAGCTCTACGCCTCCACCCTGCATGGCTACAGGTACCGTGCCGGGAGGGGCAGCGGCGTTCCTGCCTCCACCTGACCGGGGGGCCTGAGACGCTGAGGAAACCCCCTCCCTCTTCGTCTCTTGCCTACAGCTGGATGGAGAAAACACTTCCGGCCTGGGGCTCCCGGCTGCTGACCACGGCCAGGCCCAGCTTGCAGCTGGCCTGGGACCACGCCAGTGCCGCCATCAGCCTCCTCTGGGCGCACTGTGCTGCCTCCCTGGGCTGGCTGGGCGACAGCCTCGGCAGCCTCTTGCAGCAGGTGAGCTAGGAGCAGCGGGCCAGGCCGGGGCGGGGGCAGTTCCCCAGCCTCCGGTCACGACCCCCCCCCCCCTTCTGTCCACTGCAGGCGCAGCTGCCCGCCGTCCTGGCGCGGCTCACCCAGTGCCTGCGGGAGCTGCTGCTGCTGCTGCACGAGCATGTGCTGCTGCCCTGCTGGCAGCTGCTGCTGGCCGCGCTGGCCCGTGCACAGGAGCACTGCCACGAGGCGTGCAGGTGAGACCCGCCGCCGAGCTCGCACCCTTGGCCCCTGGACGCGTGGGGAGGCAGGTGGCGAGCCTGGGCCGGCCGGGGGCCTGAACGGCTGTCCTCCCCCTTGTCCTTTCCTCCAGGGGCGAGGTGACCTGGGCCTGCTTGAGGACGCAGCTCAGCGAGGCAGTGCTCTGGGCCTGGCTCCGCCTGCAGGACATCACCGTGACTCTCTTGGACTGGGCACTGGCCTCGATGTCCCAGCAGTGACGCCTGCCCGTTGACTCCACTCCAGAGCAGACCCAGAGTTGAGTGGCCGAGGGGGTGGCAGTCAGCCCGGGGGTCTCTCACTTGGTGCCTGAGTCGTGTCTCCTCAGCAGATGGCCGGTGGTCTCTGGCCCAGCCCTCGCCTCTGTGGTCAAGGTCCAGCCCAGGCCTCGCCTTCTGCCCACAGAACCACTGGATACTTCGCTGGCCCTGTGGCATCTGTCTCCCAGCCTCTGTCACCCGCCCTTTCCCTCTCGTGTCCCCTACTGTCAGCTTTCCGTCTGCAAAAGCCCCAGATGTCACAAAGGGGCCCCTTGGGCAAGTGGGCCTTGATGCTCTTCAGCTGACAGTCCTGCTGCGAAGACATTGGTCACCCCCAAAGGATCCAAGTGGACCCCAGAGTGGGCAGCAGCTTCCTGGTGTTGCTGCCCATGGACGTGGAGAGTTGGTGGAGAGGGCCCCTGCACTGGCCCTGCTTCCGCTGTCCACCCCGCCAGTGCTGTCCCCCTTCGGAACAACAGTGCAGATGGTGTGCGCCACCGGTTCAGGGACCTCCCGGCATTGCAGGGCACAGCTGCAGCCGTGAAGATGAAATAAAGGACGCCTGGTTTCTAGCAGCTTGTCCGCGTCTGTTTCCTGCCTGTGGGCTAGGACCGCTCATTTCTGGACAGTTCTGCGGGGACAGGCCAGTAAGGGAGTTCTAGCAAGGAGCCCCATGCATCTCGAGGGTGCGCTGCTCCGGTCCCGAGCCGCCCCTGCTCCTCTGTTCATGTTGTCTGGGTCAGGGCCATGATTCATGTACCAAGATTTGTTTTGTCAGTGTGGCAGTTGTCTTGAGAAAGTCGGCAAGGGGCCGGGGAGCTGTCAGGAGAGGACACACACATGGCGCAGGCAGGGCCCCGAGTTTGGCCCCAGCACCACATGGCTTCCTGGACACTGCCAGTGTCACCCTGGGGAGCGGCGAGCTGGAGGAAGCTCGGAGTGCTGAAGTCCACACCTGAGCTCAGCCCCCTGCGCCACCAGGAGGAACCCCCACACATGGCCAGTCTGACCCCCGCACCCCCAGCTGGAGGTGTGGCCCCGTGTTGCAGGGGACACTGAATATGGTCACCGGCACTGAGGAAGACAGGTGCGTGTGCTTGGCATGTGGTGGGGCCCTGGGTTCAGTCTCCGGCACCGTTGTTCAAGCATCTTGGCGTGCTTGCCGCCAGAAGCATTATCTCCATATTCATTTCGTTTTTGACAAGTACATGGATCCTTGAGTCCTCAAATTTGTTTCTTAGAGTTTTTGGGAATACAAGTGGAACATGGCTCCAGTGCTCCAGGCTGGCTTCTGTCCCCCGCAGGAGAACTGGCAAGTGTGATGCTGGTCTGTATCCATCTCCAGGGGGCAGATGCCTGCCCGGGGCTGCAGATTCCTACTTGCTTCCTCCTCAGTGCGGAAATACTCCGTCTCGATGAGGCACCCGGCAGCCAACATCATCCTCTCTGCCAAAGTCGGCCTGCAGGGGGCCAGGGCCTAGCCGTGGTAGGCAGGCCTGTCTGGGGACCCCAAGACTTCCATGTCCGCTCTTACCTGTCAGAATTAACAGGATCAATCTTTGCATCAGGAATCTAGTAACTTGGGGCCAGAGCAGTAGGACAGTGGGCAGGGCACGTTCCAGTTTCAGTCCCCGGCATCACATACGGTCCCCTGAGCACAGAGCCAGGAGTCAGACCTGAGCACCGCCAGGTGTGGCCCCAAAACAGATAAAAGGAATTTAATGACTTTCCTGGATTTGAGGCAAATCGAAGAAGGTGTTTGATGGGAGCCCAGTTGGCAAGGGCACAGGACAAGAAAAAGGACGATGCTCCGACCATGTCTGACTCCAGCTCCCTGCTGGGGGCACAGTGCTCAGCCTGCAGTGGCCACCCCACCCCTTCCTCTGTCCGGGTTCTGACTCCCCACTGTGGTCACCTTATTCCTTTGAGTTTTCTTTCTGTTTTTCGGGGGGTGGGTTGTTCTGTTTGGGGGTCACACCTAGTGGCGCTCAGGTCACTCCTGGCAGGCTGTTTCTAACACTGCCCTCAGCTGCCAGCAACAGGTTAGCAGGGGTTCCCACCTTGCACCAGGGTACTGGCCTCTCACTTAGCCTTTTTTTTTTTTTGTCCTGGTTTTTGGGCAACACCAGGCCGTGCTCAGGGTTGACACCTGGTTCTGTGTTCAGGGATCACTCCTGGTAGGACTTGGGGGACCCTGTTGGGTGCCGAGGATCAAACCCGGGTCTGCCATTTGCAAGACAAGTGCCCTACCTGCAGTAGTGTCAAAATTGTCTGATACCAGGATGATAGAGGAAAAGCCCACCACTGTACCAGCCACCCCATGAAAACTAATCCAGACATCCAGGTGACTCGGTTTTGCTGAATCAGAAGGCCAGGCTGGGCCAGCACGTAGAACCCAGGTGCTGACAGCACACAGCGGGCGGTCTTGCCCCTTCCGAAGGGAACCAACATCCCAGCCACATATGGACAGCCGGGCCCGCACCGCTGGAGCTCCCCGGAGAGTGAGCAAGAGGCTGCACCCCTTTCCTGCCTGGAAATGCAGCTCTCTGGGTCTGCCCACATTCCCCCCCTCGCCTCCGCCCCCCCCCCCCCCCCCCGTCCTCAGCTTAGCTGCACCCAGTCTGCAGCCTCAGCTTGTGACACTTGTCGTGCCAGGCACGGAAGGGGGTTGAGCCCACATCCAGGGCCTTGCTGGTCCCCAGGTGCCACCACGCACAGATTTGAGTATTTCCCCTAGACACGGGTCCGCTGGTCCTGGTCCGTTCCAGAGTGACCCAGTTAAGAGCACTTGTGAACAGCACAGAAACCACACGGTTGTGTGACCCCTGAGCGTCTTAGTATGTCTGTCTCCTAAAGGAGCTTGGCTCTATCTAGGTCAGACTCCAAAAGTGGGTGATCTCAGGGGCGTGTACTTATGTGTGGGCATGGGGGGGGCAGTAGTAGTCTCGGGTACAACGGGGCAGGGGGCACTTGGTATATGTTCACTTAATCACTTAATCACTTAACTTCCCGTTAGTCGTCGATTTGCTCGAGCGGGCGCCAGTAACGTCTCCATTTGTCCCTGTCGCGTGCTAGTGTAGCCCAATGGCATCTGTTCGCTCCGGGAACATGAAGGGCCTCAAACCGATTGTTCATGATCTTGACGAAGAAGTCTGACCATCTGGTAGGTGGGCGGCCACGCGGTCTCTTGACATCCCATGGAATCCAATCAGTAACAGCTCTAGTCCAACGGTCGTCTCATTACGTGACCAGCCCATCTGATTTTCGACACCTTGGCAAATGAGACAGCGTCCCTGATCCTTGATCGTCGACGGATGTCAGAACTCCGGATTCGTTCTCTCATTTGAGTGAAACGTGATATTCCAAGCATAGCTCTTTCTATTCTTCTTTGGGAGACCTGAATGGCGTTCTCATCTTGTTTGCGTAGGGCCCAGGTCTCTGAGGCATATGTTAATGCAGGAAGAACAGTGGAATCAAAGAGATGTGCCCGGAGCCGGAGGTTCTTCGTCCTCTTAGCTATTTCTTCGACGTTCTTGAAGGCGTTCCAAGCCGCTCTCTTCCTCCTGCGCAGCTCGGGTGCCAGGTCATTTGTCATGTTGACCTCTCGACCTAGGTACACATAGCTGTTGCATTCGGAGATGGTCGTTCCATTGAGAGCGAATGGGGCGTCAGGAACAAGGCTGTTTCTCATAAACATTGTCTTCGTAAGATTCAGCTGTAGTCCTACCTTTCCACACTCACGGTCAAAGTCGGCCAGCATTTGTGCCGCTTGGCTGATGTTTGGTGTTATTAAAACAATGTCATCAGCATAGCGGAGGTGGTGTAGTTGCCGACCATCTATCTTCACTCCCATTCCTTCCCATTCCAGTCGTCGCATGATGTTCTCGAGGGTGGCACTGAACAGTTTCGGTGAAATGGTATCACCCTACCGCACCCCTCTCTTGATATCAACGATCACTTCTTTGTAGAATGGTGAGATCCTGGTAGTGAATCCGCAATACAGCTCACAGAGGATCCTGATGTATTGGGCTTGAATGCCCTGATTGGCTAGGGCTTCAATGACCGCTTCCGTCTCAACAGAATCAAAGGCCTTCTTTAAATCAATGAACGTTAAACAGAGCGGCATCTTGAACTCCTGAGAAACCTCAATGAGCTTGGTTATCGTGTGGATATGGTCGATGGTGCTGAATCCTTTGCGGAACGGGGCTTGCTCGCATGGTTGTCCTTCATCTAGTGTTCTGCCAATCCTATTCAGGATGACTCAAGTGAACAACTTGTAGATGACAGACAAAAGGCAGATAGGGCGATAGTTGCCAATGTCATGGATGTCTCCCTTCTTGAACAGTAGTACGGTCCTGCTGGTTTTCCATTGGGACGGAACCTTGCATTCAGACAGGTAGCGAGTGAAGAGCCGAGCCAGTGTATTGATGAGTACTGACGGCAGGTTCTTCAGGTGTTCAGGTCTGACCTTGTCTGGGCCGGGTGCTGTTTGTTTCTTTACCGACGAAATGGCGTGTCGGATTTCGGAAGGGAGAACGTTGGGAACGACATACCCATCCTGTGGAATTTGGTATGTCGGCAAGTGGACATGGCTATCGAAGAGATTTGAGTAGAAGTCATGGATAATCTTCTCCATTGCCGTTCTGGAGGATGTGATGGATCCATCAGGACGTCGGAGGGCAGTCATCTTGGTCTTATAGTTGGCGAAGGACAGGCGGGCGTTACGAATACTTTTCCCGGCTTCTGCCGCATCTACCAGTACTTCTGCTTTTCTCTCTTTGAGGTCTTCCTTGATCGCATCTCTGCACTGCTTTGCGAGCTCGGACACTACTTCCACTACCCAGCTGTCACCACACTTCAGGACACTTTCTGGACTCGCGCGGCCGCTTGCGGCCGCGCAACACATCATAAGACACTAAATACCCATCTTCTGGAATTGTCGTACCATATTTGATAGGGTTCAAATATGGTAACACCTACAAGGGTGATTAGAGGTCACCCCAAAAGCCTCTATCCCTCTCGGAAAGACTGGCAAGCTACCAAGAGTATTCCGCCCGCATGGAAGAGCCTGGCAAGCTATCCGCTGTGTATTCGATATGCCAAAACCAGTAACTACAACTGATCTCATTCACCTGACCCTGAAGGCTTCACCGACATGGCAGCACTGAGAAGGATGAGAAAGGAGAAGCCGACAAAATCTCAAGGCCAACCTAGGCTGCCACAACGAAGGAAGACAAAAATGATCGTCTGTACTTTCAATGCACGTACGCTAGCATCAGATGCATCCATCGAGGACCTGATGGTACAAGCGCGAATGATCAAGTACGACATCATTGGTCTGACCGAGACAAGAAGGCACGAATCTCACCATGCTGTTTTCGACACTGGAGAAGAATTGTTCCTCGGAACATGCGATAAAAGAGGCGTTGGAGGCGTCGGTGTCCTTGTCAACACAAACTTAGCCAAGAGCATTGATTCATTCGAATGCCTAACAACCCGAATCGGACGTTTACATTTGAATAGATGTGGC